AAATTTGCACGTGGTTACTGTAGTTTTGTTCCAGTAGAAATAGACTCAGTTGTTTCAGGGCATGTGTCGGTAAGTCCAATTTTCTTCTCGTTCCTGGAATCATTAGTTGAACTCGCGGCCGGCTAAAGCTCCAAGGAGGAAGCAGTGGCTTTGATGCTGGTGCGTACGTCTCAGTAAACGATGAAAGATGCTTGTAGACAGTAGCACCGTATGTCGTGCGGGGCCTTTCAGCAGCTTGGCTCGCCAGGTGGTGAGAAGGGGTCCTGGTATAATGCCTGAGGTGCATGCGCATTGTCTCGGTAATAATATGCGTCTTTATCGAGTTATCTTGAGCGATGGAAATGGTTTCAGCTGTTGAAGCACTGCGGGGAAATTCAAGGCATATCTTAAGTGGTTGGGCTTGAATGCTCTGAATCGCGTGCAGGTTGGTCTTGCCGGTGTTAGATATTGCAGGTAAGCTGTACCGTAAGAATTCGATAAACAACACTCTGTACAGTTGTGGCAGGGTTGGTATGGGCACTCTCCAATTCTTTCCTGCAAGGAATTTGAACATGTGGCATGTTGCGATCAGCCGCTTCTTCACATAGTTCACGTGTGTAGTCCACGACAGGTTTCTGTCGGTTATGACTCCCAAGAACTTGTGGCATCTGCTGAACGATATGTATTCTTCATTATTCGATATGCTATAAGCAGACATTGGTTTCCGCGTGAACGCTACCACTGCACATTTTCAGCAGGACACCTCGAGGCCTTCTTTACGAAGGTGGCATGACGTCGTTGTAGCAGCCTTCTGAAGGCGGGCACGAAGCTGAGGCCTTGTCACACCTGATGTCCAAAGGCAGATGTCATCAGCGTGGACAGAAAGTTATACATTGCTAGGTAGCTGCTCGACTTGTCCAATGAGAGTTAAATTGAAAAGTGTAGGGCTTAGCACTCCTCCCTAAGGAACTCCTCGGCTGCTGTAATAATCAGGTGTTGGGCCATTCACCTTCACCACGTAAAATGATCTCATCTGTAAGTAGCGTACACCCACATATATATCTTGCCACCAAGACCTACTGTTTCCAAAGCACTAAGAATTGCTTCATGGATGACGTTGTCGTAAGTCCCTTTTACGTCTAGAAAGAGGGTAGCGCACAGTCTCTTACAGGCTTTCTGGTGCTGAACATATGTCACCAGATCAACAACGTTGTTGATTAACCAATGGCCGCGCCTGAATCCGGTCATGGATACTGGATAGATTTTGTAGTACTCTAAATACCACTCCATTCGGTATAGAAATATGCGTTCCTTTGTTTTTCCCACACAACTGGTTAGCGCGATAGGACGGTATGAGGCAATATCCAAAGTAGATTTACCAGTCTATAAAAGTGGAGTGAGGTGACTTGACTTCCATGCCTGGGGAACCATACCAGTGTGCCGGGAGTCATTGCATAGGCGTAAGAGTGCCTTCCGAGCTTCGTCTCCAAGATTACAAAGGGCACGATAGGTAATGGCGTCAGGTCCGGGTGCCGAAGAACGTCTGCTCTGTGCCAGTGCCACCTCTAGCTAATCCATAGAAAACTGGCAATCCATACGAGGACCACGTGAGGCGGTGGGTTGTCAAGTGTTCCCAATTTTGATACCGTGAAATTAGAATTTGGAAATTGGAAAAAAATTCTGCGACGTCAATTTTTCGGCATTGTAGGAGATGTTCCAGAGATTTAAATGGGTGTCGCTGACCCAAGGTTGTGCTATGACCCCGGACAGTTCGCCATATCAGTGATAGGGGATTTCGCGGATCCAAAGACTCGCAGAAGGATGTCCAACGTCGCCAAGCCAGTTTATTCTTGTGCTGCTGCATTTTTTTAATGCGCCTAGCAAGCCTCAAACCATCCATGCACTTTGTCCGTTGGTACCTTCGTTCTGCACGACAGCGTATTGCGCGAAGTTTCTCAAGCTCAATGTTGAAATTGGTGCGCTTGTGACTAGTCAAAAGTGAATGCGCGGTAGTCTGCAGGACATCCTTTATCGAGTACTCTAGGTTATATGATGATCCGTTGGTGCAGCAGTCTTCCAATACCAATTTAGATTTCGGCCAATCGGTGTATTTGAGGCCTCTTGAGGAGACAGAAAACAAAGCATATAGAAAAGTTGGGAGCTGGTCAAAAAAGTCCGAGGATGGAGCACCACACGGTGAGAGCTGGCTCTGCGTCAGGAGGTCGCAGAGAGAGAACCAGTCGGCGAGAGCTGCGGTTGCTGCGGTGATCACGGGTCACACAACCGTTCAGCTGATTTGCTTTAAATAAAACAAAACGATTGACTAGAAAGATACAGAAGTTCCCTAGGCAACCGTTGAAACAAAGTTAGAATGATCAGACGCGATATTACCTGTAGAAAAGCGGTTGGGGGAACGGATGAACAGGCGATGTGATCAAAGACGGAGGGAATTCACCTGGAAGAATGTTGCTAAAGTTAAAACTCGGCATCTTAAAACAACAATTCAAGTGAGCTGGAAAAATGTCAAATTCTACGAATACACACGAATAGAGACCTCGGCTGAAGTAAATATAGGCCCATGAGCTTGCTTTCGCTAACACAATATGCATTCACAAAGCTGTTTCAAACTGCATAAGAGAAACTTTTGTCTTTAACAAACCTTCAAAACAAGCTGGTTTACAGGAAAATATCTGTGAACGATAACATTTGTGCAATAATTCGGGTAATAGATAAAGCTGATATAGAACACAAACTCTTTATTTAGGTTTATTGAGCCCCAAAAATGCATTCCGCCGAGTAGAAACGTCATCAGCAGAAAACAGTAAGTCTATAAGGAGTACCTTAAACTAATATAAATGCATTGTCTGGCACCTACAACAGCTCTACAGCTGCCTTCCTTCTCCACACACAAAAAAAGTGGAGGAATTACGATAGAAAAACAATACGTAAAAGAGATACATCCCCAATGCTCTTTTCATGCTTAGAGGAAATATTTAAACTATTAGGGTAAGAAGAAACGGAAATCCTAAGTAAGAAGAAATTTCTCTCTAATAAACGATCTGCATGTAGCACAGTCCTCTTCCGTCACAGTGCCAAAGAGTTTAAATAGAAGCAATTGTGAAATTTAACCAAACGTTTATTAAGTCAGCTTGTCACTGAACCTGGTCAGTGTGACACAAAATCTCAATACATTGACGAAAGTTCACGAGCGAAACCCCCACATTGGAGCGCATGCAGCAATATGCATGCACAGAAGTGATAAAAGGCGAGTCTAATCCCCTGAAGAAAAATCCGCGATGAATGAGAATTCACTAGAGTAAATTTGACCGACACTCCTAAATAATGTGAGCAAATCTGCCACTTTTTAGAAAGCGAAGCGTAAACAATGTCTGCATATGACTAGTTGTAACATATCGGGCTGAAACATGGAGGATGAAAATGTAAGTAAAGAAATTGGGGACAACCACGAAGTTTGAAATAGAACAGGAGATGAAAGGAGTAACATTGAGGTATCCAAGGGTGGCAAGATATGTCAGGAGGGAAACGTGAGTTGCAGATATCATTGGTGATATCAAGCGAGAAATATGGGCCTGGGATGGACCTGTAAACTGTTGAGCAAACAACCGCGGGACATAATTGCGCAGATTGATTACCGAGGGACGGGAAATACAGTTGGGGAAGGAAGCTTATGTAGTTGTGCAAGAACACTGGTAAATGCGCTTATGTTTAGAAGGGGCACTTCAGCCTGGTGAAGCATTTCTACTTTGTCACATAGTAAGATTACGTGGTTTGTTGCACACAAAAATTGGCACTCATAATATTATAAAATATCGATATAACACTACATTAGCTTTCATTACCTTATAGCCACATATCTTGCTGTGTCAAGGGGGCCAAACAAAGTGTTACTCTTCAAAGAAATTATTCCAGTCGAATAATTTAAATATCTTCATGATCCGAGGTTGCATATTACGATCATGTAAAAGCCAGTGTCTTGGTCTTATTCCCACATTTCTAATATTGGAATGAAAAAAAAAATCACAGGGATAAAAGGGAGTAAACTCACACAGGATAGGGTAAACTGCAGATATTTAGCAGACGCCTCCATACCGCGGCGGTTGTGAACCAGCTGAGAACGACGATGACGATGATGGTAGTGATGATGATAGCGTAACTTCGTCTCTGGTCGAACAAAAGCGTGTGCGGTGCGAAACTAGGTTAAAAACAGGCGAGAAAACTGTGGCTGTTATGTTAAATTCTTACAGAAAGTACGCTGAAGTTGAAGCAGCCAAAGTAATACACTCATTGGCGGAGTATGATTTGCTGTATTTACATGTGTGAGGCAGCTGTGGTAGAAATCTGGAGGGTAAAGTGGCTCTTGAAAGGCACCGGTGTATAAAATACGGTACAACATTGAATACACAGTGAATTTTTCGATTTCTGCGACGACGTTGCTTTTTGTGATAATGTTTTCTCAGAGTCATACGGTGGGGTTCAACTCCCCAAACCCTTATAAAGTTTTCATGCTAAAATAGTTATACACATAAAATATAAAACATTACGAATATGTTTCTCTTGAGGGCTATCTTCAAATTGACGTGCCGAGAAAGTAATAAGTTACCTCTAGCAGGAATGCAAGCTCTGTAGCTGTATTTAGTAGCCCAGACTACTAAGCAACTGCTAGTCACTCTTCCCTAGTCCTTTGGCCTGCTCGTTCAACCTTTACGTCAGGGACGGGTATACAAAAAGGAAACAGGGTTATAGCGCCCATTGTATCAAAAAAATGTCCAGAAAAGCCTGCGCCTAGTATGTACATTAGATAAGGAACGCGCAGCGGGAAGTGGGAGCTAAGGGCAGCTTTCACTCACGCCCACCTGTAAGACGCGTATTCCGCCACGTCCTCATGGGAACGGTGGTGAGACCTCAGACCCGCATTTGCTTATCACCACCCTGTGTGGAGTGGGCCGAGTTCTTTGTCTGCAATCGAGTGCCCGCAGCGAACAAGTGTGGCCTAACGAAGACGGCTTCCTATGTTCTCCCTATATAAGCGAGTACGTGTGGCTCGTTCGGCACCAGACATCAGTGAAGCTGTCAACCTGGCTAACATGGCCAAGAAGCTGGGCCAAGTCTTGGTGTCAGGTAAGCGTTCCGGAACTGAAGCCATTTCTCGATAGCTGGTTCTTACGCGCACTTCTCTGTATAGTCAAAACAAGAATGCTTCACCGTCAAAACAGTAATCTTGTAGCATCATTAGCAGCCGTCGCAGCAATTTCTGAAAAATTTCCGCAGCCATTATAAATAGCATATAAATAGCGGCTGCGGTGGCTGCATTTCCGATGGAGGCGGAAATGTTGTAGGCCCGTGTGCTCAGATTTGGGTGCACGTTAAAGAACCCCAGGTGGTCTAAATTTCCGGAGCCCTCCACTACGGCGTCTCTCATAATCATATAGTGGTTTTGGGACGTTAAACCCCACATATCAATCAATCAATAAATAGCATTTAGGTTCTGTGAAGTGCAAATAGAGTTCTCGGCAGTCAGGGACGAAAATATAAACATCACCACCTTATTGATTGAGTTTTATAAAAAAAAACTGAATTCGGTCTTCCAGTTTTTCAGTCTTTTTTACAAAATATCTAACATGTATTATAATACTGCTGATTGCTTTACTGAAAACATTGTGAAAAAGAGAATTCGCCGAGGTATTTTTGAGGAAGATGTTTTGATGCCTAACTCATGTCCTGACAATGTCATACGTACCCCACGCTGACGTTTTGCAGCCGTTCGAAAAAAAGCTTCATCTCACCTGATGGTCAACGCTTGTCCTCTAGCACCTGGACTACATTAAGATAATTGAAGGCCACTTGCTCTATATATGTTTCTCTTGCAGGTGTTAGTAACGAAATGCTAAGTGGTATTTCTATTAGCATGTGAATGGGCGATAACACTGAAATAAAGAACCAGATTGATATATCTTAAAAGCTAACAAAAGTAACCTTTTCGTGGGTTAGATGGTACGGTATTTTTTGTGAAGATTCTACAGAGCAGGGAACACGTCTGATGAATCATTGTGTATTAACAACTTGAACACTGAGGAGAGACTGACGAGAGATTGTGTGTTGCGCAAAAACTGTTTTGTTTCTTACCTTTCTTGTTTTTTGAATTCACTACGCAACGAAGAAAATTAGAAAGCTTGTGCAGCTAATTAATTGCGAATGGCATGCAGGGTGCATGACATATAGCATGCAGCATGCATGCTATATGTCAATCAAAAAAATTCCTGCAGCATATATTATTCGTTGCAAATATGCAGTCTACAGGCACATTGGTGTAGAAATAATCACAGAATCTGGAATACACGTGTTTATTAGGCATACGTTGTGCGCAAAAACCGCCTCTCATGTGGTAGGCTGAGAATCAAAGGCATGTGCCACCAGGGGCTGAGTTGACTTCTAACAACTAAAGGGTGGCCCGCAAGCTTTCCTTACCCCTTTATTCAGCAGTTACTGTCCCGTAATTCCGCGTAGGTTTCTACATGATGGCGGCCTGAGGCCTGTGGTATTTAGATTTCACCACCTGAACACCTCGGAGAAAAAGCAGCCTATTGCAAAAAGCACGAAATGCTTTCGTTTAATTACATTGCAACGCTGAGGTTTTTCTAAGTTCGGTTAACTAACGGGGGGCGGGGGGTACTGCTATGAATGTTCGCTTCTCGAATGTAAATATTTGCGCACGTCTATGCTCATGATACCTACTCTTTTGTATTATTAGACAGTGAATTTGCAAACTCAGTGGAGACCCGTGTCACTTTTAGGCCTTAGAACGATGTACTGCATAGCAGTTGATTTGTTATCAAATCAGGATGCTTAATTTACCTTGTCCTATTTATACACGAAACACAGAAATACCTTCAGGTGCAAGCGAAGAACTTACGCCCACATTCATAGACAAATTAACATGTAACAGGTGTGGGAATCAGTAACGACAAAAGCTACAATCACAGCATAAGCGGTAGGTTCCAAGTCAAAGGTGCACTGCACCAAATGTGATGTGTGTATTCAATTTTAATTCTTTATAAGTGACTATATTACGTTAGCTCATTAGGTCTAGGGAGCGCTGTCAGCATGTCGAATATAAGCTAAACTAAACTGGCAGCCCAACGTATTTGAAGAATATTCACCCAAAACGTGACTATTCACGTCACAAGAGAGGCAGATTACAAGTCACAGATCCTGGGACGCGCCAGGCTCGCATTTTAAAAATGGCATCTTCCCTTAGGGCGTCGACATATTGCTATGCTGAAAAATATAAGGAAGAGGACAGTCCTCGCGTCTACTAGCTTCTCTGCACTTACCTATGTTTGAGAGGGCACCTGTTCCTGTGAGAATAGGCACAAATCCAGCAAGAGAAATTCGATAATGTGAATTGCATAGAAACTATTTACTTGCCTTACGAAGGATTCAAGCTTGTATTGCTACTGAACTTTTCCATCGAGAAGACATAAAACATCTAGTGTTTTATAACGCTCTTTCGATTCAAAATTGGCTTTCAACGCGAGTTTTTTTGCACGAACTCGTAAACAGTAAAACTGCCGTAGGATGTGTTTCGTTTCATGTCTCGCTGTGCCACTTACTAAATATGCAGCGCAAGGAAAAAAGGCAACATGTATACTGAATCTGCCAAAATTGGCATGATGCCATCACTATGATACTTTTATTTGGCAACAGAGAAAAAAACCAGCATGTCCTGTACTGTACTGTACTCTTGGTTTACCACTTGGCTTCAGCACTACTATGGCTACGGGGTGTAAGAAGTTAAAACTGACTGGGTTGAATGAAATTGGCGCTCGTTTTGTGTGTTTTATGCCACATCGATATGGGACAAGTTTATTTTTCGCATTTAGTTCGAACGCATGAAAATATTTTTGTCACCGCCTGTAACTGTGTTCACAAATCAACATGGCAGCACACATGCAGAAGCAACCACCCGTTTCGATCAGAACTTGCTTTTGCTACACACCCACCGCACTGACAGCAACAAATAGCTGGTGAAATCCGCCATTGATTTGGGCCATCTTACTTTGAGAATAAATAATCAGGTACGTTTTGTCGTTATTAGCGAAATATGCTGCTTGCTTAGCGGCACCTTCTAAAATTACGCGCTGAGCAGTGCTTGGGCTGCGACGCCAGACCAACAACTGCTACACCAGGCCAAGACCAACACCAAGGCCCGACGCTGCATCATCATTGGACATGCGACATGGCACAGCGTTTCATTCGCGTCGGATCCTCTTTCGATGAAAACAAAAAAATGGCAGCATATACACGGAGTGAATGATAGAGAGTGGGGCGAAGCAATCGTCCGTTCATTCATTCTTGCTCCCGTCCGTTCATGCGTCCGTCTGTGACCATCCATGCGTCCATCCACCCGTCCGCGCGTGCGTCGGTTCGTGCGTCGGTCCCTGCGTTCGTCCATGCATCCACCCTGCGTCCGTTCATGCGTCCATCCATGCATATGTCTGTGTGTCCGTTCGTCCATCTATTCAACACTCCAAGTACCACCATCTCGCATCTTTTCATCATATATTCCATATATAAATGCACCGCCATCCAGCGGACATTCCAAGGACTAAACGAGAGGTGGCACACGCAGAGTTTCTTACGCCTCGCGCTTCGGGTCTACTTCGCACCTTAAACCACCTCGAGTTCATGGTATATACTAGTTCACTGTATCATGGCACTTCGGCCCAACGCTCGCAAAACCTTTCTAAAACCAAGGAGGTTACGCCTAGCGAGTATAACGTTGCAACCCTTTCTTGTCATATATTGCTCAATGTACTTGGCAATGGCTGCTGATGGGGATAGCAGCATGCGCGGTAACTAAAAGCCGAATGCTCCTGTCTCTCATTCCCCTTCAGCAGCCATTGGCATGCACATTGTAATGTTTTAATTTTCAACAACGCACAGAAGAAATCCCTCACCGGCATCACCTTGGAGGTCAAAATGTTATACTTCTTACATACTACAACAGCTACGAGGGACGAACAAGTGCCGCTATATGGAGTTACGCCTTTAAAAGAAAGAGAGAAAAGAAGAATTGCGGCGAGAGACGCGAACGAAAGCGTCGACAGAGAAGCAGTACGAGAGCCAGGAAAAGCGTCGGAGAGAAACAGCCACAAAGTGAAGTTATCCACCACTATGAGCGTCTACCGATTTTCAGCCGAGCAACAAATCCACGCTTCAAGTTTCTGGTTGGACTGCTTGTTTTGCAGTTTTGCGCTATTTTTAAGATAATAAACCAGCCTTATCAGTAATGAGTATGTATAAACAATTCGGCGAGCAGACGACGTGGCGCAGATGAATACATGTGGAGGGGCTAATTGTCCTGCTTATTGGCTGAGAGGCCCTGTAGTGTACGCAGCAACGTTACTAGAACCAGGTCCACAGTGCTGAAGGGATTGTCTGAAACTGTGTACAGACAGGAAAAATAGTTAAAGACAAATGAAACAGAGATAATGGTAGAAAAGGAAAAATAGGGAGTACAACCAGTCAAGGATAAGTGGTTTTTATACAACTCATTTTCATTGACAAAACATAAGCAATGATAACAAACCATCTGGACCGTTAGCCTACCATGGCCAGTGGTCGTTCCATATCAGAGTACATAGCAGAATAACTGAGCATATATGCATACACGCACACATATATACACACACATATAACCTTATATATATATATATATATATATATATATATATATATATATATATATATATATATATATATATATATATATAGAGTATGCCTTTAGAGACATATAACCAAGTAATATACATATTTACAGAACTAAAGAATGAAAGCAAATCATAAAACAGACAACATGAAATAAGCCCGGTACATAATCACACCTTCACAAGCTATTAACGGTAAAAGGTTCAATATTACACCGAACGCGATAAAACAAAAAAGTAAGTGTTCGCAAGCATTCATCTTGCAAACAAAATATTGTTGCACTGAGGTAAAAGTTGTGTGCTGCCTTAACATCTAAGGGTATTTTGTTCCGACTTTTCGTTCCACGTTTTCAACTTTTCGTTGCATGAAATTTCAGTAAACGTTTTTCATGTAAGTTATAATTAGAAGTT